CGCGGCTGTGGCCAGCCGGGCCGGCACCGGGGCGGGCATCTGCTGTCGCTGTCTCTGCCCCCCCAGATGAGGCCCTGCTACCTGCAGAGCTGCGGCCGAGCAGCTCGGAAAGCAGCGGGCACCGAGGGGAGAGGGGCCCCAGTAGGGGCCCACCGGCCTTGCCCCCGGACAGGGCTTGGTGCACCCTGACAGAAAGCCCATGGCCTCAGGCTGGCCGGGCTGCTACAAGCTGTGGTGTGTTTTAAAAAAAAAAATCCACGCGGATTTACTAAGCAGCCTCTCCGTAATGCGCGGGATGCACCGAGGGGATGCGGAGATCACGGAGATTTTATTTGTAGTTGCTGCGGTGATTGCTGGCTGGATTTGTACAGCTCACCCTCAGCCCCGGTGGCAGCGGTTCCCGTTTGTTGGCGTCGCGGCTGTCCCCGTGTGCTTTGTGCTGCCTGGCTCCAGCACAGCTGCCCCGCCTCACCACTGAGAACGATGTTCCCCGCCGACTGGAGGTTTAGCCAGCGTGCCACCTCCCTTCCCAGACACAACCTTCCATTTGGAAGAGAGGAGGTTTGGGAAACTGCTTTTGCTCCTTGGAACTGACTTGAGGGCAAAGAGGGTTTGGGAGGGACCAAGGGTGAAATACCGTTATTTCTTCTTTCCGTAGACATTGCTTTGCATCACAGTGTGACAGCTAAGCTTTTCTGCATTGACGTTGTGGAGCTCAGGGGTCATCTTTGTCTAACTTTTATGGATAACAAGACAGGAATGACTCCTCACAGACTCTACCGCACACTGAGGTAATGAGCTATGAGCCTTCCCACATCCAGCTGTTGGGCTGGATTCTCCTCTCCTGCAAGCATTGCTACTGCCCTTTGGCTTCTTATCGTAAGCATCTAGCATTAATGTATACACTTCTTACTGCTTCTTCCTTGCCTTCCCAGTACGTAGAGGTGCAAAATAACTGCTCTTACGTGTGTATGCAGTCTGCCTCAATGTGTAATGGGTGGTCTAGGGACTCGTAGCAAACTTTTTGCTTGTCATTAACCACCCTAACATAAACCATTTGGCTCATTGGTGTGCAAAATGTGTAATAAGCAGAGGTGGTACTTCTGTGCTGGGACATAGAGAATGTCTGCATAAAACTGAATGTATGTGCCTGAAGTCAAACCAAGAGTCCTTTTCTGTAGACTTGTGTTACGGATGAGTTTTCCCTCTTGTCTGTCTTACCCTGTGGATGCTGAAATGAGTTATGGCTTTAGTGGATATGTTTACATCATGTTCATCTTTCTATGTGAAGTATTTTTCTATAGCGATGAGAGAGAATGAGGCAGGCTAATGGCAAGAGATTCAGCTTTGCGTTCACAGAGAAGGCTGTGAAGTCTGGCTCCATGCGGCTGGGGAAGGATGCCATCATCTTCACCAAGACTGGAAGGGTTCTCAGCATGGGGCAGCTTTCCCAGACCTCCATGGACTGTGTCTGTGGTGAGACAGTGATTATCCCACTGGTGTAATTCAACTAGCAAAATGGTATCTTCTCTTGGCTGAGTGGCTGAGCTGCTTACCTTCCTCCAAAGGGACATGGGGGGCCAGTGGCACTGCCACGATGCTGAGGGCACAGGCTGCCAGTGGCTGTCCCTTGGCCATGTGTGCACAGCACAATGTTTGGAGAGGGTGAGAATGACTGTAATCAGTGCTGCACCTGGAGAGTCCCTGCGGCAGGCCTTGCTGTTAACACACTGCCATGCAGCATTATTCCTTTTTCCTTGGGCTTGAACTTGTCATGCATCTGCTTGGGGGTGTCTGCTGCAAACCTGGCTCCTGGAAAGCCTTTGCAGTCAGGCCACCGACCTATGGGCTACCTTTTTCTGTCCCTTTCCCCCCACCATGCAGACTCATGTACACATCCCCTGCCCAGGAGCTATGCTCTCTGCTACTTTTCTGCACCTGTAATGGCCTTTGGTGCCAACCGGGCATGCTGGCATACTTCCAGGCTGTGTTTCCTTCATGCCAAAGGGAGCTGAGAACATACAGCTCCCCAGCACTGCTTGTAGATTATCAGCTGGCATGACATTGTTGCCCCCGACTTGGCTTGGTACTTTTAAGTGTTTTTCCTCAAAGCATCCTACTGTCATGTCTGTCCTGGCTCAGTCTTTCTCTGAGACCACCCACCTGTAATCTCTCCTGTGTCACACTTCCCCACAGTGTCAGGCCTGTGGCCAAGTCTTAGCAGCTGGATTTTTTTTGTGCCCTGTGGCAAAAGGGAGGTAGATGGACTGGGCAACCCTGTTCTCCTCAACTGTGGCTTTTAGAGAAAATGGTTGTTACAGAAGGCTCTGTGCCTAGCCTGGAGGCCATCCTGGAGCATACTGTCTTCAACACCAGGGAGGAGCTGCTGCCACAGTTCAGTGCCATTCCAGGCAAAAAGGGCACGCATATCCTCATTGGGAACATTCGCAGGTACGGGGCTGGGACATGTGGCGAGGTGGCAGTGCCCGAGGATGGGGAAGAGCTAAAAGCAGAGACAGCTTCAGGACAGCACCTGGCCTGGGTGGTCTAAGCCTGCTGTCATCCAGCCTGGCCACTGGAGGAACAAATGCAGGGATTTCTCCCGCTTCCCTCTGTATGACTGAGTGCTTGGGGTGCCATGCTGGAAGTTAAGAGATCGGTTTAGTTCTGTCTGTTGCAGGTGTGCTCTTTTTTTCAGGGGAAACAAATTAATACATTTACTTCCTTTTCCCATCTGTGCAATGGAACTTCCATATTTCTGTGTTATTAAGACTGTTCTGAAGTGTTCTGCTCCTTTGGTCTTCTGCACAGAAATACCTGTAATTAAACGACTGACTAATGAGATCCATGGAGTGTGTGAAATATGCTGTTTTATCTGCTCCTCTGGAAGTTCCCTTGGGGTCCTGATACAGAAGAGTAGACCGGGGTGCCGATGATTGTAGACTGTCTTTATTTTTGTGTTTGGTGTTTTTCAGAAATAAAGATGGGGAGCTGGAGCTGGATTTTGATACGGATGAGCATATTCAGATAGCGGACTTCCTTGCAGATGATGGGGAGATTCCCAGCACAAAGGTTCTGCACTCTCAGAAGATGGTTCCAGAGTTTCCTGGCCCAGAACTGGAGTACTCATTACAGGTAAGTTGACAAGGGCTGAAAGGGAGCAGGATAGCCCTTCCCCAGCCTTATTTTGTGCATGACTCACAGGGATGAAAGACATTAAATCCAAAATAGATTTTGGGTTCACCTGGAAAAGACTACATGCAACTAGAATTCTCCTGCCTCTTCTGTTGTGCTGTCTGTTATGCTTTCCCAGGCATACTGCGGTATCTTGTACCTAAAGCCTTGCATGCAGATTGTCCTGCAACAGAAGAAGGTGAACACTCAGCTGATCACCAAGAGCCTGGCCAATGTTGAATATGATTTTTACAAGCCAAGATTCATCATATCGTTCCTGCTACCTCTTGGCACTCTGCTCCCACAGCAGCCTCAGCACACTGCGGGGTTCCAGAACAACCTCACAGCTGGGCTTAGGCCCGTCTGGTCTGATGCATAAAGAAACCCAGGATTTAAATGAATAGAGAGGCTGAATTATCTTCTCCATCCTGTCTTCTGGTCACCTTTGAGAAGCCAAATCCTGATGTGAAGCTTAGGAGGGAGCCCTCGAAGCTGCTTCTGCTGGAGCAGTGGGTGATAGGGCTCAGGGCTCACCTTGTACACAAGGCAGTTTCTGCCATACCCCAAGGCCAATGGGCTGTGTCAGGGGAGAATGAGGTGGACAAAGGCTTGAAGCTTTTGCTGACTGGTCAGTTTTGCTTGGGAAAATATCTGCTGAAATGTATTTTAAATGACAGCATTATTCAATTCAGTGGAAAAAACACTTTATCAAAATGTATAATGAGACCAGAAAAGCCTTTCTTCTCCTCTGTCCTGTTCATCAGCAGCTGGTTGCTGACTTTTCCCAGTTGACTAGAAGTTGGTCATTTGAGTTCCTGGAGCACGTTGATTCTCATTCCCAAAAGCCACTCCTAGGCCACCCCAGCTCTTTGGGAGTAAGATGACTTTTTTGGCTTACCTGCTGACGTCCTTTTGGAGAGCAGTGTCCACAGAGTAGAAAGCAGTATCCCCAAGTAAAGCCAAGTGCAAAGAACAATATACCCTTTAAATCTCTTCCAGAAAAAACTTTGCTTAAGCTGTTTCAAACTACACCTGAGCATCTTTTATTCCCCCTCCTCCTACGTGCTTTAAAGGTCATTTTGTATTGTGAATTTCTGTGCTTACGTTAATATGAAAAGATTGACCAAAGATGAAAAGGTGTTACTTAAATTCTGTACCTACGTACTTGGGAATTGGAGAACCAACAAAGCTGCTTTCCTGCTTTTGTAGCTTCACAGTGGTTTCCATCTGTGTGCTAATGCTCTCTCCAGGGATTGCACAGCCACTGTGTCTTGACATGATTTGCAGAAATGCAGCAGGTTACAAACCTGTAGTGGTAGTGCCCAAGCAGTAGTGGTTTTCCACTTGCTTTCATAGGTGCTTTGGCCTTGCATAGTGGGTGTGCATAAAATGACAGATCCTTGAGATTTGGAGTTTAGCACCTATAGTGTACAGATAAAGTAGCATTGTATTGGAAAGCACGTGATGACTACATACATTGCAAACATATGAGCTCTGACTCTTAAGAAGTAAGCAAATTAAAATATATTTAGACAAAAAGTAGTTAATGAAATACTTTAATTCTAAACCCACAGCTCCCTATCTAATAGCGGTCTGTCTAACATGGAATTTGTGAAACTGGAGTCTGCTGAAGGAGAGCTTGCTCTTCTTTGATGGACCTTAGTATTGTCATTAGTTGTTAAGATTTCTTCAGCCCTGACTGGATGTGCTTGATTTGGTTTTGTAAACATTGGTCATTTATCTTTTAACCACAAGTAGAATTTTTAGTCATGAGTTATCTCATTTGTGATATAGTCCAAGGCAGTTTTCTTTGGCCAGATCTTGCCTGTTCTATTATCAGGGTAATATAAATGCATATCAGAGTTTTTATTAAAGCTATCACCAAGGCATATTTTGACTTGGCAGTGACAGACTGGCTCCGCTCAGTACAGCTGTATCCAACTCCCCTTCAGTCAGTTATGCGTGTTCTTATCTGTGATTGCTGGCTGCATGCATGGGGTTGTTGTTAGCAGGCCAAGGCTGAGCACTTTTTCTGTGCTGAAGAGAGAAGGTGGTGTGCTGAGGAACTCAGTGTGGGTTGCTTGATGCTGCGGCCTCTCTGGAGTGTGTCACTCCTTTCTGTGGAACTTGTGCATCTCCCCCACTCCTCCTCTGGAGCTTCTTGTTTATTTCTTTCTTGACACATTTTCCCTTAGAGCAAAAGGGTGAAGATCACCTTTGGATTCACCTGCAAGAACAAAAGCCACTAGGGGATCATGATGTACCACAACAACCTGCTCAATCAGATCCTATGAGAACGTGGGCTGTCAAAGGAAGGTGGGTAATTGGACTTGTCTGTTACCCCTTTTTAACTCTGAGAGGGGAGAATGGGGCTTTGCAAAGAGCAGGCTTGTCTTAGGTCCTTGCTTCACCGTGCACATTGCATGGTGTCCAGAGTTGAACAAGGAGACCTGGTATATCCCTAGGATCAGATCAGTGTGTGCATCTGCACAATGGGTGCCTGTCCAGGTTTTGGGTAACTAGAGATGGCCAGCTACTGTTCAATATTGCTGTGGCTGGAGGTGCTACCAGAGGATGGGCAGCCTGCCTCTCCTCCAGGGTGATTTCCAGAAGAGGATCCGCTCTGGCAGAATAGCCTGGACTCTGTTGGGAAGTGATCGCTGAAGCATTTGCCTCTAGGTGTTATCTTGCAGCAGCATCTCAGAGCTATGGCATACTTTGGAGGTGACCATCTTTGCCACAGATAATTCTGGTCTGTTAGTTAAGCCAGCCTGTGCTCTGCTTTCTGGAAGAAAAAGCCTCAGTATAATATGCCCAAAATACCTTTGCAGGGGAGTTTGCCAGGTGTTTGTACCTCATATGTGCTGTTGGCATGCAATGCACAGGCCATGGTGTTGCCATCAACCTCTGTATCAGGGGTTTGGAGTGTCAGCGCTCCCCGAAGGACTATTTCTTTTTGTTCTGAGCAGAATTGGCTAAAGCAGCTCTCTCCCTTCATTTCTGGACCCTGGTGCAGGGAGGTGGTGTAGGTGTGATTGCTATAATTAGAATGCAACTTCCTGAATCGAGCACACAACAAAGAGGAGTTTGAAGAAGGCAAAGAGTGCCAGTAAGAGAGACCTGTGCCCAAGGCTGCTGCTTGGAGAGGGTTTTGCTGTGATACAACCTTTGTTCTGAGCACTGCACATGTTCTTAGGTCTGTTTATTGTGAAGTAGCCTCAGATTGGCCTGTTTTTTCCTCCTCTAGTGCCCCTAGAGAGCATGGAGAATTTTGTCCTGAAAGTCTGGTGCAAACATATAGCCTTGGGCTGAGGAAAGGACACATCCTCTGTGTTCCTTCAGCTCATTCCCTCACAAGACTCCGGCCCTGAGCAGACTCCTCTGAAATAAAATGGAGCCTGTGTTCATGTATGCTTTAGCAGAGCCGCCCAAACTGAGAACACACCTATGAAGCCAAAAGAAAAAGTTGAACGCTCACGTGGAGCTCCAGTTAAGGGGTACAGCAGAAGCAGGCAATGTCCTCCCTTCAGGGACTAGCCCCTGCTCTCCTGGGGGTGCAGCACTCCACACTTTGGGAAAGGTTGTACTTGGGGAAAGAGACCTGTAGTCTGAATGTTTTTGTGATGATATTGGCCCATTTTTTGCAGCTGTGGGGTGGGTGATACAGAAGGGCTGTTAAGGTGCCAACCTAAAACCTTCAGTCACAGGTCTAAGTCAAGTTCTGGGGGAAGTGGTTTGTGTTTGCCCTGGTTGTTCCTTGTGCTGCCTGTTGCGCCAGTAGGAGTTGCCCAAAGTTAGCACCTTCTTACGGAGTTCTTCCTTCCAGACAGACAATTGCTGTGCTGGGACAGAAACTCAACAGCTATTGGAAAGTGAAGATGGCACAGATGAATTTGGGAAATGTGGATGTAGCTTGCATGATAGCGTAGGAATCATTTTGCTGCTGCTCTGATCTTTGCCAGCATTAAAAGCCTGGGGGCTTTCCCTTGGCCAAGGTGAGGTGGCAGTGTACCACCACGAGGAGCAGAGGCTGCCGAGGGATGACTGGACTCCTTCCTATAGGGAATTGAGATTTGAACCTGTGGAATTTGGCCTGGTGGTTACTGGGAGGGATGCCACACCATGGGCAGGGTGTCCCTGGGAGAGCAGAGACATGTTGGCTGCCCTGGACCATCCCATGTGCTGTGCCAAATGGGCTGGGATTGGTTTGGGTCAGGTGACAGCACTTGTTCTGAACAGCCTTTTCTGGTGTTTACTCCATGCTTGAAATACTCAGACTGAGCATTAGTTTTTGCAGAGAGAGACCAGACCAGACATGGGTACAATGTGAAGAGTGTCTGAAGTGGAGGAAGCTCCCTGACCAGGTTGACTCTACATTGTTACCAGAAAGCTGGTTTTGTTGTCTCTATCCCCTTCCCAGATACAGGTGGGAGACTCATGAATTGAGTCCTGGATGACTTTTTTCAATGCCATCTCACATCCTTGAAATATAAATGGTTTCTGTCAAATGCTTGACTTCCTGCTTTCCTTCCACATACCTGTGAATGTAAATCTTCATTAAAATAGGCGATGTTAAAATAGGAACATGTTACAGTATGCTTGCTTGAGTCACTGCCTGACCCCTTTTCTCTTGATGCCTTTAAAATAACAGGTTTTGATCTAGAGGAATCTGGCCATTTAAATTATAGTGCTTCTGAAGGATTGGATGGGTTTTAGTTAAATGTGCTGATTGAATTACAGTCAAATGGCAAAACTGCTAATAACAAAATACAGTTTCTTGTTGAGATCTCCTGACCTGTTGGAGAATAAAAAAGCTTTATTTCCTTACCAAGAATATCAGCTTAAATGCTAAGCAGAAAGAACTGGTAGAGTTGGGACTGAGACCAACTGTCAGGACGTTACTGAAGGAAATTCCTTTTCTCTGATCAACAAATTCCAGGGTGCAACCAGTTTATACGGCTGAATTGCTGTTATTTGTTGAAGTTCAGCATTCCACAAAGATAGATAAGATAGCCTTCATGATAAACTATTAAGGAAATCAGTTGGCCCTGGAGGCTGAGGAGTAAGTTTTTATAGCCTAGAAACTAGATAATAAAGACACTTTTCAATAGAGGAGGAAGCTAATACAGGACTGCCTCAATTTAAAGCTCTTTGATACATTAAAAGTGAGTGATCTGGCAGAGGAAGCAGCACAGATTACAGATGGCAGACAGTTCTTTGTCAAGGCAGTCAAACAGACTGTGGGATTCCTGAGTACCTTCAGACTGACCTGGTTCAACTGAGCAATCAGCAAGGTGGTGGCAGACCAGAGCAAGCAAGTAAGGTACTGTAGAAGGAGTAATTAGGATTGTCTAGGTGTACAGATAATTTCAGTTAGTAGTATCATCTGAGGATGGAGACCTAAGAATGTGTTGGACAGTTCAGTGAAAACATCTATGCAGTACTTGTGGCTGCCAGAAAAGTAACAGTTACATTTCTGTTTTAAACCTGTATATGCAGGATTTTTATCTTGTGTTTCAGGACATCACTGCAAATGTATAGTGGTACTTAGAGGGAACTTTTCCAATAGACTGTTTCCACATAACTCATGACTGACAGTTCCTTTCCTTTGAAGCAGCTGGTATTAGTGGTCTATGCTGCCCACATGGGTTATGATGCATTTCTCTGTCAACTCAAAACTGAAGCAGAAATGACTGGCATTATAAGTGGTGTGCTGAACTCTGTCTCATAGTCTGTACTTCATTTTGTCTATGTTATTTTGGGATTCAAGTAGCTCTTTTTCCCTTTAGCCCTTAAGCTAAAGGGAAACTTAAGCTAAGTTTGATTTTTCGGCTGTTCTCTTGATCTTCTTTTATCTGAAATCCTGAAGGATTAGAGACATTGCATAGATGTTCAAACCATGGAGATTTTTGGTGGAAGAGATGAGTCAAACTGTTCTTTCACACACTTAGGCATGCTTGACTGGTCTTGTTGCAGAAGCTGTTTGACACCCTAGGAGCAGGAATACAGTGATGAGGAGAAGAGACCCAGATATAGACAGAAATGCCAGAAGGGGTGAGTATATCCAGTTCCAGTTTGCAGCTCAGCTACCTGGAGCAAGGATGGGGGAAAGAGAGGCATTGGGTGTCCTGCATACAGGAGATGTCTGCTGCTTTTCTCTTGTTGACCTGTTGTTCTCCAGGTGAAAGAACGTTTTACCCCTCGGTAAGACAGCAAGGAGAAACCTGCTCTTTTTTTTCCCTTTTGTTGGTCTAGGGAGCTGGACGGAGAGAGGAAGAGGAGATTGTTATCATCTGGGGAGAGTGTGGAACAGCAAGTGAGGCAGGAGGGAGAAGGCTGCAGGAGTCGGCACAGGGAAAGTCTCGATGCTGGAGGGCTTGGCAGGTTCTCAGTCCTGCCTCACTGTTATTCGTGTTTCCTCCTGTCAAGAGAGATGCCAACATGTGAAGGTGTCAGAGCATCATATAAAATGAGACTTTGATTTTTATTTGTGTACACCTTGGACGTGCTTAAAACTCTTAACAGTAACAGGGGTCAGGGCAGTTCCAGTCCCTGCGCTCAATCTTACCCTGTACTGCCTAGTCCTAGTGTGTTCCTTCCTGGCTCTCCTGGCTAGAAGAGGATGCAGGGAGCTGTATGTTTCCTCTCTTGGGGTTGCAGCTCTGGTCCTGTGTGGCCTCTTTCCCCATTTTCAGGTTAACTGGTTATATTAAAGACTCTGATGTTTTGAATTTTCAGGAGAAGTGTCTTTTGGACATGGCTGCCCAGGATGGGTTCTCCAGGGAGCTCTGTGACACTGCAGCAAGGAACTCTTCATGGCAGTTGGTATTTCAAAGACTGCTGCAAATTGTGAAGCTCCCATTTGGCTCTTCCATTTTGGAATGAAGGTGAGATGAGGCAAGCAGTTCCAGTGCTGGCATGACCTGTAGCGGAACTCGCTGGCACAGTGTGCCAGGGAGTTTTGTGATCTGGGGAAACCTTGCGTTAACGGAGAGACCTACCAGGAGCTGGCAGCTCATGCGAGAGCAGCTGATGAGACCTGGGTGGTGCCAGGAGCAGCCATGGCCAAGCCCCCACAGCTATAAAGCAAACCCCTTCCCAGGTGCCAGGCCGGAGAGCGTGCCATACTCTTATACCAGTACTGGATCGCTGCAGTGAGTACACCTGTGGGAGGTGCACCCCAGCAGAGGAACTCCTCAGCTTAGTGGCAGAGCTCCGGGAGGAGGTGATTAGGTTGAGGAATATCTGGGAGTCTGAGAGAGAGAGAGATTACTGGAACCGCACCCTACCTTTCCTGGGACAGGCCTGTCGGGCAGACAGGACACATGATCTGGAGGATTCCCTATCCTCTCTCCACCTGGCAGAATGTGGTGACTTAAGGGACGGGGGGGAATGGCAACAAGTTCCTGCCTCACGCAGCAGGCACATTTCCTCCATGACTACCCCACCTTCCCAGGTGCCCTTGCATAATAGGTAAGAGGCTCTGCAAGTGGAACCACAGTGATGAGGATGATGGTCCATCGAGGTTGGAGGTTTTGCCAAGGTCAAGTCGGCCTGTGCCCCATATCAAAATTGCTTCCATTAAGAAAAAAAGACAGGTTATTGTCATAGGAGACCCTCTTCTGAAGGTCCAATATGCTGACCAGTTAGTAAGGTCCCCTGGGAATCTGCTTTTGAATGTACTGGAGTCCATGAATGCTGGTCACTTTTTAAGAGCCATCCTTTAAGAGCACAGAACCAGTCAATTCAGAAGTGTTGGAAGTCAACAAAGTGGGGCAGAAGGCCGGCTTGATGAGCAGGGATCTTCTGCTAGAACTTAGGTGGAAAAGGAAGGTGTATGGAAATTGGAAGCAAGGACAGGCAAGACAGGAGGACTACAGAGATGCTCTTCGCCATTGTAGGGAGAAAATTCATGTGGCCAAAGCTTGATTAGAGTTCAAGCTGGCCAGTACTGTGAAGGACAACAAAAAGGGTTTTTTAAAAATATGTTAACAGCAAAAGGAGGATCAGAGAGAACATTGGTCCGTTACTTGACAAGGTCAGTCACCCCACAAATAGGGACGTAGACAAAGCAGAGACCTTTAATGCCTTCTTCACCTCTGTCTTCAACTCCATTGATGGGCCCTGGGACCCCCAGAGTCCTGTGTTGGAAGACCATGGCTGAGGAGATAATAAACTCGCAGCCAAACCTGAACTTGTTTGAGACTTACTGCTCCAGCTGGATGCACATAAGTCTATGCGGCCCAATGGGATTCACCCTAGGGTACTGAAAGAACTGGATGACGTCATCATGGGACCTCTTTCCATTATTTTTCAACCATCTTGTGAGTCTGGAGAGGTCCCTGTCAACTGGAAGCTGGCAAATGTTGTCCTAATTTTCAAGAAGGGTAAGAAGGAAAACCCTGGTAATTACAGGCCTGTCAGTCTTACTTCAGTGCCTGGTAAAATTATGGAGAGTTATTATTCTGGGAGTTATTGAAAAACACTTGAGAGACAATGCAGTCATTGGTCATAGCCAGCATGGGTTCATGAGGGGAAAGTCCTGTTTAATGAACTTCATTTCCTTTTATGACAAGATCACCCATCTAGTTGACCAAGGAAAGTCAGTAGATGTGGGATTTGGGAATTTTAGCAAAGCTTTTGATACTGTCTCTCGCAGTATCCTTCTGGACAAAATGTCCAACACACAGCTAGACAAGTCCATAATATGATGGGTGAACAATTGGCTGACAGGTCAGGCTCAAAGGATTATAGTAAATGGGGTTACATCAGGCTGGCGGCCAGTCACCAGTGGCATTCCCCAGGGCTCAATTTTAGAGCCAGTGCTCTTCAATGTTTTTATAAATGATCTGGATGCAGGAATTGAACGTACTTAAGGAAGTTTGCCAACGATACTAAACTAGGAGGAGCTGTGGACTACCCTGAGGGCAGAGAGGCCTTAGAGAGACCTGGATAGACTAGAGAGCTGGGCAATCACCAATCATATGAAGTTTAACAAGAGCAAGTGCCAGATTCTGCACCTGGGATGGGGTAGTCCTGGTTATACGTGCAAATTGGGGGATGAGAGGCTGGAGAGCAGCCCTACAGAAAGAGATCTGGGGGTTTGGTTTGGCCAAATTGAATATGAGTCAACAGTGTGCCCTGGCAGCCAAAAGGGCCAACCATTTCCTGGGGTGCATCAAGCACAGCATAGCTAGCCAGTCAAGGGAGGCGATTGCCCCATTCCACACCGCACTGGTGTGGCCCCACCTCGAGTACTGTGTGCAGTTTTGGGCGCCTCAGTGTAAGAAGGACATGAAACTATTAGAGTGTGTCCAGAGGAGGGCGACCAAGATGGTGAAAGGCCTTCAGGGCAAGACTTAGGAGGAGCCACTCAGTTCACTTGGCTTGTTCAGCCTGGAGAAGAGAAGGCTGAGGGTGGACCTCATCCCAGTTTACAACTTCCTCATGGTGGGCAGTGGAGGGGGAGGTGCTGATCTACTCTCTCTGGTGACCAGAAATAGGAAATGGAGTGAAACTGCATCAGGGGAAGTTCAGATGGGACATTAGGAGAAAGTTAAGAGGGTGGTCATTCACTGGAACAGGCTCCCCAGGGAAGTGGTCATGGCACCCAGCCTGTCAGAGTTCAAGGCACGTCTGGACAATGCTCTTAGTCATATGGTTTAGATTTAGGTAGTCGTGTGAGGAGCAGGGAGTTGGACTTGATGATCCTTGTGGGTCCCTTTCAACTCAAGATATTCTGATTCTTCTTGACAGATCAAAGGTGGAGAAAGGCCCATGCCTCAGCAGTGGAGGCAGAGGAGGAAGAGAATTGCAGGTCCATAACAAACAGGAACAGGCGGGCATAATGGAGTGTGAGAATGTGAAAAGAGCAGTGTAGAATCGCTTTGTGGAACTGAAGACTATTTCAGCAGTGTGAGGTGTGCTCCGGTGCAAGGTAATGAATTTGTGGCTGTGCATCCCTGCTGGTTTGGAGGGTTTTGGAGAGAGCAGGTGAAAGTGGGTTGAGGAGGAGTCACTTCTCTATAAAGAATGTAGTGGGCTTCTTCCTTATCTGCTGACTCTTAACTTCTTCAGGCCTGGCAAAGCTCTTTTTATCTTGCTGATTGATATAATTCCTGTGCATGCACCCTCCTTCCATTTCAGGTGGAGAAAATTGAGCATGAAGAGTGTTGCCTGAAAACAGAGTTCTTGAAATGCCAACAGGAACTGGCACTGCTCAGAGCTCAGAAGACAGAAGGCTTGCCCTGCAGCAAGAAATACACGTGTTAGTGCCAAGCTGTGTGGCAGAAGCAGAAAGCAAAGCTGGCGAGGCCTGCAGAGGAGAAGGCTGAACTGACAGAGAGACTCAAGAATACAGAGATGCACTTAAGGGTGCTGAGGGAGGCACAGGTTTCCTGCAGGGGCCCAGAGAAAGAAGACCTGATGAGGTCAGAGCTGTGGTTGGCTGGTTGGCAGTCCCTGTCATCCCTAAGGTGGGGGGAGAGGGCAGGAGTCGTTGTGGGCTGCTGTTTCCATAGGACGCTGCTTCCCTGGTATCCATCACCCTGCTGTATAGGTAGCTGGGTTGTAAGTGAGGATCCTGCTGTTGTGAGGAGGTGGAATCACCAGATGAATCCAAATAATTGATCCGGCTTCAAAGATGCCCTATGGAAAGGTGCTTTGTCCATACTTTGTCTATCCTATACTGTGGCACCTTGTTGCTGGATCCCTTGCACAGTGTTGGGTCTGTAATGGAGATAACATCCCTGGTAGCCAAACAGGTGTTATAGGGACCCGGAGCTGATCTTTCCTAGTTGAGTCCCAAGGATAGTTATTGCTGGGGGATCTTGATTTAATACCTGGCTGGTGGAACCTGCACAGAAGAGGCTCGGTTGTCTTACTGTGCCTCTTTCCTCTTGGCTAAGGCTTGGTTTCCTGTGGCGCAACTGACATATTGAAGGGCTGTTGTTCACACTTTTTTCAAGCTCACTTCTCCCCCAGGTGTCGTCCCCTGCATCAGTGCCCTTGTCTGCTTGGACCAGCAGTTTCACCTGCACTGTGAAGCTGGAGGCTGAAGAAAAAGGGACTTCTGACTTTCCCCCTTTTCTCAAAAAGATGACCATAGTCCAGAGAGGAGATGGACCTCAGGAGAAGACCAGACCCGTAACAGCAAGGTAAGTGGTAGGTTGCAGGCTACTGCCTCACACCATGTTCTGTCTTCTGTCCCTTGTTTGTGGTCTGCACTGAGGCCATGTGGAAGGTCTTGGTGAGATGCAGTTTGCTGCAAGGAGCCCTGGCCAGAGCTAGTGGATCCGTCCTGGGTAGTCTTACCTTCCGTCCCTTTTTGGGAGAGGGGTCTGCAGGACTCAAATGCTCCTTCATCCTCTTGTGTCCAGAGTGAAAAGGGGAACAGGGTAGAACAGAGAGAGGAACAGAAATCCTTGCCAAGTTGGTGTTTTTAAATCCTCCTGGTTTCCGTGTATCAGTGTTAACAACTTCACACCCCTGTGAGCTAAATTCACCTCCATGCGTACAGTCTCCAGCCCTGTGGTCAGTCTGGATGGCAGCTGGCGTGACTGCCTGTCCACTGCTGGAGCATTCAGCTCTCTGTGTCTATGAATTACTCTGTACAGAGGACATCTTTACCCAAGAGAAGCCAGATACCTTTTGTCTTCCAGCAAGGAATCAGGTTTCTGGCTGAGAGAATTTCTCTGGATAAGTTCTCACAGTCTCTTCAACTTTTGGGGTGGGGATTGAGATATGATTGATTGATTGATTGATTGGTTGATTTTCAACTCTCTTTCACTGCCTCCCGAAACCCTTACTGCCCATGTCATGACAGAGCAATGTGGGCTGCTCCCACACGGTGGCACTACTTGCCTGGCTGAGGGGCTGCCTGGCTGTGTCCTGCACTTGTCCCTTCTGCGTGCACACTGGGCCTGCCCACCGGTTGCCCAGGGAGAGGCCTGCAATGGGGCTGCTGGCATGTTATGAGAGCAGTCGAGGGGACCTGGCATCTCTCTCTCTCTGTGGCCCTTTGCACGTGATGCAGCTGGTTGGTTGATTGCAGATCTATCTGGTTGACCTTCTCCTCCTGACAGGATCTTGGGGAGGGAGAAGGCCACTGGGTTACAGCAACTTTGAAAACATTGTGTGATAAGAACAGTCCTGCTCATCCCTGGCTGGCTCAGAGCAGTAATTCTCAAAGCTGCTTCTCTCATCATGCTGGTGGGGCCAAACATCTCCTGTTGCTCCTGTTTTCCTTGCCCAGGCCCCTCTTGTTTCTCTTCACTGCTGCCATGCTGAACTACTTTTTCCAAACATGAGCTCTCCACAGCACCTCCAACAAGCTCCATCAACATCTTTGCTCTCCAACCCTGTTCATCTCTCCCAACATCTTTATAACTCCCCCACGCTCTTCTTTTTCCTGTGTTCCTCCTTGTGCCCACATTCCTTGTCCTGTTTGCCCAGCACTGTTGAGAATCCATCCAAGGGCCTGGGCCATAACACAGACTTACAGATGAACTGGGACTGGCCTTTCCCATCCTGAAGTCAGGCTTTTGATTGCATTACAAATGGGTCAGGTATCCAGGGCACTGACAGGCACAAGATCTGGTTGGGTTTGTGGACAAACATGCTCCAAATAATTTTATAGCTGAAGAAGCTTGAAATGGCAGCCCATCAGAAACATACCTGCCTGCCATGTTTAGTGAAATGTGTCAGGCACGTGTATTTCAGACAGGACATTTAGCAAATTTCTGTGGGTTTTTTCTTCAGAGACTGCAGTTCAACCCCACTGCTATCTCAGATGGGAGACAGGCGGTGAGGCTGTGTAGGTAGGGAACCAGGGTCTTTGGGCTTTGTAGCTCTGCTACTGACATGTCCCCTGCATGAAATGAGCATGATAGCTGCTTGTCCTAAAATGAGAGTGAGCGTCAGGAGCATTATGCTATAGAGAGAGGCTGATGCCATGAGTTTCTCTCAGCAGCAGTCCTCTGTGCTGGGGCAGCAAACACCTGGCCAGGTGGAGGATTGATCCCCACAGTCACGGCATTGGTAGTTTGCTACAGCTACAGCAGGTATTGAGGTCTGAGGTTAGCTGTGCTGTCAACTGGGGGCACTTCAGCCTGCTCAACCTCTCTTTTTCTTTTTTCTTTTTCTTTCTTTTTTTTTCCCCAGCAAGCCAAAGTTCACCATAAAAGAAGAAATACTGGAAAAGCATGGTGACCTAGTGGAAGCTTCACCCCCAGACCTGACTTGTCTCAGCCCTCCTACTTCTCCCCTTCAGAAGAGCTTTGCAGTACCTTACCAAGAAAGGGAAAAACTTCTGTACATAAACCAGGAGGATATGAATGTAGGTGGCAGCTTGCACACCTGTCTGCTCAAAGAGCAGCTGGCAATCTGAGCAGCACCATCCCTGCTAAGTGTATCATGCTGCCTCAAGGCAGAGACTCCAGCATTACCCAGTAGCTCAGCAGGA